CAACACGTGGAAACCCTCAACCTGTGCGTGTCATAACAATCGATGAATGCCCAGAGGTGGACACCATGTACAGCGCCGAGGACCGGTCCGCAGCAACGGTTTCATTCGTTCGCTATTTTTTTCCGTGGGAGCCACGAGCAATTCGACAATAGATTTATTCCTATACCGTTTTCACGTATTACCCATCCGTGACTACCCGCTTTTCCCGCCCCTATCCCATTCCTTCCTCGGGTCGTTTTCTTCTCATGTATTAACCATCTATGAATACCTGAATACCACCCCTTTCCCGCTTCTATTCCATTCCTACATCAAATCCAGTTGTCATCCTTTGGCTCTTTTGCACTTATCGCCAATGCCAGCGCGGATCTTCGCCCGGGTGACGCTGTGAATGCTCAGGAATGCCTATTGTACAAAGACATGCCGTGCGCGCGTTTCCACACTGCCCAAACCCTTTTGGGAGGCAAATGTGCTCACAAGTCTTACAAACAACCCCACCCCTGAGCATTGGTTCGAAGTGAGTCTGACAGACCTGATCACACCTCAAGTTCGGAGATCGACGACCTGGACGGCTGCGTCCTTATCGCCTTTATTCACAGAAAACTGTTTTGTCGGCCAATCTGCCAGAGTCCACCACTTCCAACGGTACGCAAACACTGTTTCAATCGTCCAGACCGACCGCCCATTCCACTGGGCCATGCTTGGTGTTTGACCGGAGGATTTGCGAGAGTTCACCGCAACTGCGCGCGGCCGCGGCCTGTGGTGCCACAATGGTCACCACAACGGCTTAAGGGTTGCACACGGATCCGGAGTAGGCCCTAAAAGAAAGAAGCCTCGAAGGAGTGGTGCTTTATGTTGGATGTCTTGTTGTTCCACATGCATGCTGCTACAATATTCGGCTAGGAATTCTTCTACTGGTTCTCATGCAGATTGTGAGACTGACATAATAACGTATTGTCATATGCTTGCCTCCGTACTTGGCTTTCTCGCATGCTTTCACCCTGCGAATGCCTTGTACCATCCACCTATCAGCACTCAGCCAAGAAAAGGCTTCAGGCCGCCGGAACCATGTTGACGCTGCCCAGGCAAGGCCCTGGAACGCCTGGAAAGCCTCTCCACATGCTGCGCGCCGAGAGATAAAAGATCACTTGTGGCATTTGCAACGCCCCAGACTGTTTCAAACTGCCCCTCCTTAGTTTGTTTTTTCCATGGGTGGAGTGACAGCCTGCCGAGCATGTAACCCAATTCAACCCATTCTAGATAACTTGTTGTTGAAGACTTAATAATGACTTGAAACACCTCTGACCTACTATTGACAAGGTGTGGTTATAAAAAGCGTGCGTGCAAAACCTCTATTCTCGGTAGCAGCGGGGATAATGCCGGAGTTTCTTCGCGATTTGACAGAACGTGTGCAACAGCTTGTTCGGCCAGCCCTAGCTTGTCACCCGTGGGACTGGCACCGAGTTTTTCCAGATGTGCTGATTCGAGTCGAAAGGAGATCCCCCTGAAAAAACCATAATAATTAGTTTTCACACATACAAAACACTGGAAAACACATACCCCACATAGCGGCCCGCTCTCTATTTTTCATTTTTTCAATTCGCTACCCCTTTTTGGAACCCAATCAGGGTGTAAAGGCAGCATCCCTTCTGAACCAGGTGTCAACCTGATGTCATCATCTCCCATCCTTTCCCATTATCCATTCCAATCCATTCTCGGCTAAAGGCCAAAGGGGTACGGTATATATATATATATATATCTGTGGAAGCCTTTTTAAAGGTGTTTTTGGATTGTTTAGTTGCAATAGGTCTAGCGTTGGGTGTGGTATTGTAATTGGTCCTGGATGCTTCCCAGAAGTTTGGAGCCTTCTTTTGCTACAACCATTTACCCTTACTGTGGCAATGGCAACAAAGATAGTGATATTAGTAGTGCCATTCACACTGTGACCTGTGGGGGCTTGATGCCATGCACCCTGTGACCTGTGGAAATGAATATGGTAATGCCATTAACCCCGTGACCTGTGGGGGCTTGATGCTAATGCTGATGGTAATTGGAATGCTAATGGCAATGCTAATGGTATTGGTAATGGCCATTCACCCTTGCCGTGTGGCAATGCTAATGGCAATGGTAATGCTCATGACAATGGTTATGGAATACCATTCACCCTTTGACCTGTGGGAGCTATGCACCTTGTGACCTGTGGGGGCTTGATGCCATTTGCCCTTGCTGATGCTCGTGCTAATGCTTATACATGCAGGTTTTTTGACCTGCCAGGAGGATAGATAGAGGTTGAGGGTGTGTGGCGGGAGGGGGTTGGTTGGTTTTCTGTGGGACTCCAAGACGAGGTGTTTTGGTAATCAAGGTTGGGTTGGTGATCGTTTGACTGGTGGGCTAGTTGGGGGGATATGGTGGGTTGCTTTCTCGATTTTTGTCCCAGTTGGTTGCCCCTTGCGTTTAGTTTTGTGCCTGTATTTGCTGCGTGGGTACCTAACGATGTGGGTTGCGATTCTAAAGACAGAGCCATCATTGAGACAACCATATGGGCAAAAAATGTGAGAGGAATTTGACGGACATTGGGGCTTGCATTATGTAGAATACAGATCAGGATGTTTCAATGCTTTACCAGCACCTGCGCATGGTTCTTTCACAAAATGCAAAAAACCGCAGCCCGTTGGTAGAGTCATAAGGAGTATCCCGGAACCCCCACTTTTTGTTTGTATTCTTCCTGCCCTGCCAAGTCGGGCCACCCGGACCGACTGGCCGCTTCGCCAGGAGCGGCTCCTGGTGCTGTGGCGCTCGGTGGCTGGGTGGGCGGATCTGATCCTCCAGTGGGCGGCGGAGAATGGCCTTATGGGCCTCTTGGCAGACGGCGCCAGTGGGGCCCCGGGGGTTTTGTTGGCGCAGCTGAAGGCGAAGTGCATTTTTTGTTGGACTTGCGGAAACTGCAAGGACCGGAATTTGGATTCCTGGTGTGTTCTTGGCTTGACAGCGGAACTGATAATTGGTCAGGTCCCTTTTTGGGAGAAACCGTTTGGCGGTTTTTTCCACTTGCATTCGCCTCGTCCCTTTGGGCCCTCTCTCTGAGACTGTGTTCTTCCGAAGGGAACTCCACTGCATGCACTTCCGTGTCACCCCTCTCCCTTCAGGAAAAGAATGCATGATCCCACTTGAAAATAAAATCAATCAATGACCAAGGTATGCAAACAATGGAAAACTGATCGTGGTTTTTGGACAGGGTCATATTCTTTCTGCTCCAGGATGTTTGTAGCTCATTTTTGGACCACCACTCGGGCCTGAGTCGTCCAGGCAGTGTGGAGACAGTGCAGTCCTTGATGGACGGGGAAGCGGCCGAGGCGCGGAAACAGCGGAGGTGCAGCGTCGACCGATGGCCCCAGGCACGACCGCCATCTGGGACTGCCAGGGCGGACTGCCGATCAAGCCAGACCCCTGGTCAACCACCCCGACGGCCGTTTTGAAGGCAGTCCGGACTGGCAGTCCCATGGGTCGTGTCTGGGAAATGGTTTTCGGAGCGAGGCCCCAGCGCTGCGACTCTTCCCCTAGCTGCTAGCTTTTCCCCCTAGCTTGAGCCACAAGTTGAAGTTCCCTCCACCCGGGATCCAAAGAGCATCCAACATCTAAAGGACGATTGGGGAAAAGATTGGGGGTTCTTCTTTCGTGGAAGTTCAGGATGCGGTCGAATGGTTCATGAAGATTCGACGTGCATGGAAGGAAGTTTTATTTGCACAATATTTTGTGGAGTGCGTTGGGTCAACTGTTCCACCCAGCGGGCAGCCTCGCACGTGGCCGCGCTGCGCACCATGGAGTCGCTAAAGTCCTCCCTTGGACGGAGTAGAAGTAAGGAAGGGACACAGCCGCCAGCCAAGGCATGCCGAGATGTAGAGAAGGAAGGTTGAAGGGGGTTGAAGGGTGCTTCAGACATATACCAGCACCATGGACAGGGTGGTTATTAAGGTAAAAATCAATGATTTGGAATTGAGTAGATCAGATCTGAGCAGATAGGCACCTTGACCTGTATTTGGACAGGTTTTCAGGAGAAATGTGGTGAATCGACATGGCAAAAGTTGCAAAACCAATGCCTTTGACCCTTCGATCTTCTTGCATCCAATGCCTTAGGGCCCGTTCGCCTTCCGTTTGACCGGAACGCTGCAGCATCGATCGGGAATTCTTCGGATCTATCCTATAGGTCCCCCAGTAGTAGGGTCCTATAAGTTTACTTAACCTGAAAGTAGAGAGGTCAACTCGCAGATGCATAGGACCGCAGAAAGACCCATATTGGATGGAATTTTTCCTCCTTCCTCAACCGGTCATGGGCTCCCACGAGCACGAGCAGGGGACAGTTGGAGAGGCGATTGGGTGAACATGCAGGGGCAAAGCAGACGTCTGTCTTTCTGACTGTGATGCCTTGGGGCCTCCTTTGGGCCCAGTCTTACAGTCAAGACGCTGGACTTCCCGATCAGCCTCGACCAAAACGCATGACAGCCTCGCCGCGACAGCGGGTTGGCACTGCCAGCCCCTGGGGATGGCGGGAATTTTCCATCTCAGTTCCACAACCTGAGCATGAACGTGCATGAACCCGGCCTCCTGTCAAGCAACTCCAAAACCATAGTTAACACTTTGAACACCAAAGGAACGCTTCCAAACATTTGCCTATTTGGCGTGTGATTGCTTTGCGTATCTACCAGTCATACGCTCGCAAGAAGGAGACTTGCAAGCATCAGCACCATGAGCTGAGCAGCAGTAGCACGTCCTGAAGGGCTAATTGCCAGAGGTTCTGTTCTGCAAGTTTTTTGTTGCCAACTGCTTTGAGTCGAACACCAACACTGCACCCTTTTCCATTCGTCTTGCCACATGAGCGTGCTGCCTTGGGCATTGCCGGTGTCTTTTCTCCTTGCCGTGTCTGCATTCGGAGGCGACTGCTTGTCACTCTACGAGAAGCTGGGACTGAAGCAATTCTTAGTGGATCCCCGTTACCACTATTAATGAACCAGGTCCCTCGTTCGATCTGCTTGAGGATCCACTGTTTTTTTTGTTTTATGGAACTCTCACAGGCTTTCTTTTGGCGGCTGCCCGTCCAGAGCCTCCCCAAAAAGGGGGTCCAAGTGGCGTTAAGACTATGACCTGTAGCAAGTGTGTGGAAGTGGGGGCAAGATGGATTTTATATGTTCGACCGGGATCGCCAATTGAATCCAATTCGTGTTTGCGATGACTGAGGAGCCAGCAGCTTCACTGGCGATCGATGTCCAAAGCGGTGTCAGTCTACACTCCCGTGGGGCATCGTCCCGATTGGTATTGGGAGGATGTCTTCACCAGAAGAGGCATTGAGATCGAGGGAACGGTGACAGATTTCGACACTTGCCCTCCGGAGACGCTGGAGATGCCAAAAGTCACCTAAACAGGCCCAGGTGATCACATGAATGGCACCTTTCCTCACTGGGTTTTTCACCAACCACGCCTTGTTCGCTGGGGGTTTCCCCTCATGACACTTACCCCCGCTTTTTGCTGGGGTTCTGTGACAGTCCAGGTGCGTCGTGTCACGCGAAGGATCACGTTCGTTTTCAACGTCACGTCAGTGCAGATGTAGGAGTTTAAGGATCCTCGCGATGAAGCACACTGCGAGACTTGTTGTATCAACATACTCAATTCATGCGAGGATAGGGGGTTGTTCCTTTTGGAGGATTTCTTGGAGAATGACGCGTGAAGGATTGTTTCGGGACTACTTTTTGTCCGTTCTGTTCCGGTCCGCTTCGCTCTCCGAGGAAGAGGTGTGGTTTGGAGTGGTCTTTAGTGACGCAGAGACCGAAGCGACTGGCTGCGGGGTTCATGGCGGACGCTATTGGGAGGTCACCCTTGACCTCCGGAAGCTCTACGAGCCCTACCAGATGTGTAAAAATAGTTGACCTCGTTTTGTATTCTAAAATCCTTTGCCAACCAATGGTTGTTCGGTAAAAGCCATTAAACCAATGGTGGTTACAATCCTAGGGTTTTGTTTTCACGTTTCTCTCCAGGAACCTAGACCAGTACAGAATGCATGTGTTTGAAGACCTAGCTAATTCCTTCGAATCTGTACGTTTGGAGCCTCAGACTGACTGCATCCAACAAGGATTCACTCATACCCAGTGCCAGATGGCCTTTCCTTCAGCGTGCCGCAGCTTTCACACAGTTGGACATGCATACTCGGCAAGACTTGCATGCGCTCCGGTTGAATTTGTGTGTTCCTGGCATTTGTAACCAAAACTCAGTGGGCAAGAGCATTGTTCCTGGGAGTTTTGGACAGCTCCTGGGCCAAGCATCGATGCTCAATGGGACCTTTGAAGATGCCGTGGAAGTGGAAGAGCTTCTTCCCTGGGACTCTTTCGATGTTGATTTTGCAATTGGTGGAATTGACAACTGTGGCACGGCCTCCTTGCACATGAACTTGGACCAGCATCCAGAGCTGGTGTTTCGATCGACTTCGCTCGATGACCACTTCTTTATCAATTCTCTTGCGAACCGGCTGCTGCCTTTGAGGTCGCAAGTGGAGATGTACAACGCTCAAGTGCAGTCTGCCAAGGAAGAGAAGCGTCAACGGACAGGAGTTCAGCCTCGTCTCGTGGGGATTGCAATACCAATGCTTTTTGCCTATCAGCATGTCAGAGAGAAACATGGAATTGCTTACGTGCAGGCTTTTGTTTCCTGTGTTCTCATTTTTTCTTGCAATGTCGCTGCTTTTTGAGCGCTGTATTTGATTTCGAGCGTTTTGTGGTTGTGTTGGTGGTAGAATCAAGAACCGCCGCTCAACATAGTAGTCACATGTTGCAACCCTGGAACATCAAGGGGACAAGGTTAGGGATACGGTTGAATGTTTGAGGGAATGTTGGTTTTGGAAGTATCTGGCCTTGTTGGACTTGTTTCACTGAAGTCTGGGTTGGTCCGTTTTTAGTGTTTTTGAGGTGTTGTTCTGGAGGGGGGTCCCAAAAACAACAACGAGGCTGCAGTCTTTGTTTCTAGGAGAGTAGAGGCAACAACATCTTTTGAGGGGGGTGCCCAAAAAACACCATAGGCGTAGTAGTAGAACTAGCCGTAGCGGGAACAGTCGTAGTAGCAGTAGCAGTGGCAGCAGTTGTAGTGGCAGTGGTAGTAGTAGTGGTGGTTGTAGCACCAGTACCATCAGTACTGGCACTGGCTTGTTGTCGTGGAGGGGGTGTCAACAACAACCGCGGGGCGGCAGTTTTGGTTCTAGCCTTTGTTCTAGCAGAGATAGAGACAAAGTAAGCAGATGTGCGTTGACGGGGCTTCAGTTTTTGTTTGTACCTTGATCAAGTTTCATATGCTTTTCATTTGTTGTAATTATTTGGCATGTTTTTCCCTACGCGGCCTTGCACGTGGTGCATCTACTAGTTCCACACACACACACATCAGCACCGCGCATGGATGAACATGCGCTAGATCATGCTTGGGCCGTGGGCGGGTGGGTGGGCAGTTGGGGCTGGATTATTTGTCATTAGCGGGCTCGTCGCACATTAATGCATCATAAGATGTGTTATATACAAGCCGGTCACGCGCGCACGCATGCTAACAGTGCACTGGCATTTTCACGTTTCATGTTGGCGACAAGCACACTTTCACAGCGTCATGCCCCAACCTTTGTGTCTCCTTGATGTGTCTGTCTCCTTGGTTCTTCTGTCGCAGTTGGGGGTTCTTATGGACATAGACGAGTGATTGCCGCTTCTTCGGCCTTGGTTTCGTGTTCAGCCTGGGCTATCTGGACGTCTTGACTTTGGTTTTGACTAAACTTCGTTGTAGGGGTGCATCACTGGTTGGTTTGACGCTTGAACCTTTTGAAATGGCTTTTGACCCACGTTGCACTTGAAGAAATGTTCTCGTCGCAGTGGCAGAAGTTCGAGCATCACATGCAAGTGACCACGTGAACAGCCACGCATTGGCTTCAAGAAGGAGTTGCGAGCACCTGGTTTTCGCACCAACTATCATAACGTATACGCACTGACTCTGTCTTCGGTCTCTGAAAAGCCGAAACGTCATCCTGGGCCTCCTTTGGGGGGGGGAAGCGTTTTATACCAGGTACATCGAAGTCCTGTCCAGTAGACGCCCCTGGTATGTTTGAATCGTCTGCGTTTATATGTTTGGTTTTTAACGTTTTGCGGCAAGTTCGTTTCTAGACGTTTGGGGTTTTTGCTGTGTGTTGCTTTGATGCATTTGTTGTGTGCTTCGATTGCTTGCTTTCCGTCTCTATCCTCTGTTGCGTTAGTTTGTTCTTTGTGCCTCGTTTCCTGGCTTCACCTCTTGGACCACTCACTTTGAGATCCAGAGTTCCGTACGTACCAGCAAGACTTGATGCCAAAGGTCTTTGAACACCGCGAATCCGAAAGAAAAAACACAATTGAATTAGAGTTGCCATTCATGGGTTATTTGAAGGATGTTCGCAGCCATCCCGCGTTTGAAGCTGATTCTGGCTTTCTGTGACCCACTGGGTCGCTTGGAGAAGGGCTTTATGAGCCACTTTTGGTGCCACGAGAACATCGAAACCGCCAAGGAGCGCAGGTTGGCACCCCAACAGCGCGATGGAAGTGAAGTTTGCTTCAACAGCACCTCAGCACTCGTGTCTGAAAGGGCACGGAAACTGAGATCATTTTGGGAGGGAAGAAAGGTGGCACGGCATATGCCGCCGATGCTCGATCTTTTTGCTGGGCGAATGAGGGCTGCCATTGACTTAGCAACGGTTTCTTTTTTGGTTACCCGGAATCATGGTGTGCCTGCATGAAGGCAGTTTGCCGCATGGGGTCTTTGGCTGTGACACCAAGGGGCACCCCAAATCGGGTCCGAATGGCGGCCCAGTGAGCCCAGGGATCGGGACATCACCAGATCCAGGTCCAGGTCCTCCCCAATGCGTTTGCACCGGGTCCATGGTGGTTAACATCGGACTCACTCAGCGAGGATCGTCTTTCACCGAGAAGAGCTGCGGTTGATGCCCCGAGGGCTCTTCAACCGTCTGGCCCAGTACATCGGCGCCAGCGCGCCGTTTGAAGATGAAGTGGACTTCCGGCGTTACAACTCAATTGGTGGACACCGGACGGATTTGTGTGACTTGGCGGACTTGGACCAATGAGGCCAAGGAATTGAACCCAGAGCTTTCAATGACTTATCTTACTGCCCCACAGGGGTTGAGGAATCTAATTCCGATTTTGGGAAGATGCCCCACAGTTTTCATGCCAGTCGCATAATCATGCCCCGACAAGATTGATTCTGAAGGGGCGAGATCGCTGTCCTTCTTTACAGGCACTGGTTGGTCCACTCTTCCTTAGTGAAGTAACGGAAGTTCCCTAACTCCCAGGCCCTCAAAACTCCCAGGGCTCCCGGGACAGAAAGTGCGACCGCTGGCACGAACGAAAACGTGGTTGAAAGGACGTCCATACAGGTCCATACATCGAAATATGCTGGCACGCACTCCCCTCCCATTGATTCCGCTGGGCGCCAGGTCTTGGTGAAGAGTTGAACTCTACCCAGGCTGCCCAGGCCCTCTCAGTTCTTCTCCATCCACATGTAGACCCGGAGAGCTGTCAAAGCCTCTCGACCCTACTACTTCCTTTCGAAGAGGAAACCACTCAAGGGAGGCGAGCCAACACTCTGGAGTGGCTGACGACAAAGAACATTCTCATAGCCCCAGCCCCAGCCGCACCACATAAGCTGGGCGGGCACCATAAGTCCGAGAGGCGTGGAAGAAGGAACCAGGGCAACAAGGGCATCAATGATATCCCTAGAATCGGCCCCATATAGAAGTCCAAAAACTCGATTTTCTTCACTGAAGGGGCAGGAAGCTCCTCTTCGGGTCACCCAACGACCAATCATTTTTTCTTGTCTTGGACCCCCAGGGGTATCACAATTTCAACATGGGCTTCAAGGAATAAAAGTTGGTTTCACGCTGAAGGAGGAGTACGGCACCGCACTGCACCCATCGACAAGCGGACACCGCCACCCCAGACCCAGCAAACACAGAAAGGGATGTCGCTGAGGGGGCTTCTCTGTGGTCGCCCATCCATGAACAAGTACTCAGTACTCGAAAGAAAGCCGACACAAGCGGCAACGGACTAACGCCCGACCAAGAACTGCACAGTGTACAGTGTCCCGTAGGACAAGGAATGTCAGGTGAAATGGCAAGGCACAGATGGGGATAGAGCAGATGGTTTGGAGCAAGCATCACAACATAAACATTCCACAGCTCTACCTGGCTGGACCGTCTTTGTACCTTTTCAAGGTCTATATAACGACTAGTTCGGACGCTTTTAGGAGAACCCCGGGGTCCGGCCTAACGTGGTAATCAACAAGTGCTAGTTTTGCTGCTGGAACACAACCCTAGACCATTCTAGACTCCAATTTTGGCGGGTCTGCATGTCTTGCCAGGGTCGCTGCTATTTGCTGGGAATTGTGGCCAACAGGAAAACACCCACAAGGTGGACTCCTGATGGCCTTGTTGGGCTCATAATCCGAACGAAAACGCTGTCCAGGGCTACGCGTTTTCGTTCAGACCGCCGCCAATCCAAGGCCAGAACACCACCAGGGTACGTGCCCTGAAGAGGCTTTTGGAAGCCGAGTACCAGATGCAGGAGCTCATGCTGGCCCCGAAGAAAATGATACGATCACGCCTAAGAAGGAGCCGTTGCGATGACATTGATGCAGTGAAGGCTACCTATTGCCCTGGGCGAGTTGCCTGTGAGTGATGCAAACAGCGATTTCGGTGCCAATACACCACTCACCACTCACATTCTGCTCATCTCCGTCCCGTACCTGGCTTGGTTCCAAACATGGAACCCACAATGTGAGTAGGAAGATTGGACGTCTCCGATCAGTTTTTGGCCTCAATAGAGCCGAGTCATGTTCCTCGGCAACGCAACACCCCGTCCAGTTCAGGGAGTGGTGTTCATTAAAGTGCTGTTTTCTTTCTTTTTTCCTGACACGACCTGTCTGGGACTGCCAGGGCGGACTGCCGATCAAGCCAGACCCCTGGTCAACCACCCCTGGCCTGATCGGCATATATGGCATACATGGAGTGTCTGGGTTTGGGATGATGATTCTAGATTCTGGGATTCAAATGAAGTGAAACGGGCGCTTGTAGGGGTTGACGCTTGAAACTCAACACGATCCAAACAACTTGGTGGCGTGATTGTCGAAGTCTGAGCTGCATTGTCGAACACCATATTCCACCCTCCTCGTGGGCAACGCCCTGACTGGAGACCAGAATGCAATCGGCCAAGGCCAGTTGAGAGATTGCGCGTGGTCGGTCGCTTTCTTTGCATTGATCCCATTTATGACCCTTTGATGTATTCAAGTTGTGGGCGGATGCTTTCTGATACTCAACCCTAAATCAATCTCATCGGCCGATCTCGCGATCTTGAGCCAGTCAGCTTCCTCTCCAGAAATTGGGGAGGCGCTGGCATGGTCAAAAGACTCATTCTGCGCCCCCAAGGCGGACGATGTCTTCTATGGGGACCAGAATGCTTGAATACCTAATACCATTCACGACCAGCCGAGAGGGTGAGAGTGGCAGAGAGACGGCAAGCCCAAGTGAGATCATCACGGCTATTCTCACTGATCAATTCATTCCAATTGAGTGGTCCATGACGCGACCTATATGGCCAACTGCCAGGAAAAAGTACGACTGCGAGATTTCATGTCGGGAGTGGGCAGAGAATGAGGTAACCTCTATGAAATTACACACATGTTCCTCGATATGTTCTGTAGCCTATAGCTGATGTTCATCACACACCTGTTGCTTGATTAGATGCGGTGTTGAACAGTTCCGAGCATGTCAACGCCGATGGCTGGTCTGGGTCAGTTTGACCACCTCACACCTCTCCCAGGGGCAGGAGTTCTACGGAGCCCCGCGGGAGCTCATCATGGCGGCGTTGCAGGTCGTTCAGCGTCGCTTCGATGCGGGGCGGAAGACTCGCGTGGACTTGGACGAATGTCGTTGACCTGTTTGGCATCCGCAGTTGCCCTTGGTTTTTGTTGTGGGAGGTTGGGAACATCATGTGTTTGTCCATTTTGATCCTCTGGGAGTCCGACTGGTCTGACTAGGTGATCCGAGTCAAGGAATGTCCTTGTACTTCGGTGGTGCCAAAAAGACTCTTTCAATCTTAACTTCTCTTCGGGATTTAATGTACTGCATATAATATATATATATATTAATAACACTACGGACTAGTTGCTGTACCTGCATTCGGGTGGTTGAAGAGCGGCCCCAGAGTGGGCCACAGATATTCTTTTGACTTCTAGGTGCCAAATCCTCAAGTCCCTTGGGATTGGACTCGGATCCAATACTCGCAACGTCCCAAACGCCAAAAGTGGATTCCGATCCTCAGGTGGACTGTCGCAAGAACAGACACAAACAGAACAACATATGGCCTCCAACCTAGAAGCAATGGCCTCCAACCTAGAAGTGATGGCCTCGAACCTACTAGCGATGGCCTGCAACCTACTAGCGATGGCCTCCAACATCCTCCAACCTTATATGGCAATGGAGTTGTTTCGGAGTAGATTGCACAATCTCGAAAAGGTTGTTTATATGGACCCCTATGAAAAGGAAATCTTGGGGGTTGTGCCATTTACTCTGAAACCACTGTACTAAAAAAGAGGGGGGGGTGAACTGAATGCAGAGGGGTCAAGTTGCAATCATTCAAGAGCGTTCCTTACACATTTATCTAGAGTATTCTAGAGTTGTATACAGTCACATGTGTTCCAAAAAGTTTGTTCCTGGAAAGCCTGACAGAAAGTACATTTGATCCCCGGACGCTCCTTTAAGGGTCCCACCAAAACCACCCCCATGCTTCTTCAAGTTTCTTGCCCCCCCCAACCCCCCCCCCCGACAAACCAAAGGACAGCATGGGCCACGCGGAGGAGCTCGTGCGGCGGAACCGGGCGACCCTCTTCCGGGGCTCCAGCGGGTCGGAAGGCGCTTTGGCTCCGTAGTGAGCGAGGCGTTGGGCGCAGCAGGGCGCAGCAGGTGCAGGGCGCAGGTGCAGGGCGCAGGTGCAGGGCGCAGCAGGTGCTTTCGGGAGCGTTTGGTACTGGAGCTTTGAAGGTGGAAGAGGAACATGACCAGAGGGCCCAGGGGTGTGTTGTTCTCTAAGAAGTCGGGCCCTTGGGCGGCTTTTCTTTTCGTCCGGTGTCGAGCCGAAGCGGATTCAAGTATCATGGGCATAGTGGGCCCTGGGCGAGAGGCGCATTGAGTTGCTGGCATGCCTGGCCCAGTAGCAAAACCAAAACCATACCAGGACCCTCCTGTCGGGGTGCCCTGTTTGGAAGCCTATAGGTAGTGTGGGGTAGTCCATTGGACACCCCGACAGGAGGGTCCTGGTATAATATACCCAGACGCTCCAGGGACTGCCATATATGCCGATCAGTTGGGGTGATGCCAGGGGGGTCAATGGGGTGGCATCTATGGCAGTCCCAGACTGGTCGTGTACGGGATAATTACTGTACGTATATATAGTAGTTTGTATCGTCGACTTAGTGATTTTCTCACGAGGTGGACGATTAGGTGACTCTTGGAGAGTACAGGAGATGGACTACAGTCAACTACAGATATAGATCTCCCTTGCAAAGGTCTTTATGAAATCAAATCCACCCCAGAACCCTTCTCAAGGGGTATCTATATAGGTGACCTGTTGGAGTCTTGGAGATGTCGTTCGTCCACTCAGTTCTGTCACGGGCCACGGGCCACGGTGTCAAAGCAGAGGACGGTGTCCACCCGAAAACACGCTCCAGGGCGTCCGAGGTCGGAGGTCGGGAGTAGCCGAGAACCGGCCTGACGGTCACTTCGGAGACGAAGTGCCCAGTGGTTTTTGGATGTAGGGAGTCCAATCTACGTATAGTATATAGTTCAAATCATGAATGTCCACATTGGGATTGAGCTTCCCAGAGATCACCTCGCCCTGTTGGGACAGATCAGAGGAGGATGTTATGAGACTTCATACTCTTCGATATCACTTGCTGACATGCCAGATGTTGCTGACATGCCATGATCAAATCCAAGTTTCCCCCATTTTCTGAGACTAAAACTCAAGTCTCAGATCTCTTGGATCTCTTGGATCCGACCAGTCACTCTGAACACATCCACTCGTTTTCCCCCCCAACCAGTCGCTTCACCCCTGACTCGCTGCACCGGACTCGCCGGTGCGTCCCAGGCGTGAAGTTCCTCTCGGCGTGAGCTGCGGAGCCGGACCCCGTCCGACCGCCCACGAGCCGGTCGAGCGGAGCGTCTCACCGGTCGAGCTCTCGCCGTGTGGAGCCGAAAGCGAGCGTCGAGCCGAAAAGCCACGGCCGGTTGTGCGGGATGGGACATCGGAGCAAACATGATGTAGAGGGTGGATGAGAAAAACCGAAGAGGTTTATATATATAGGTTTATGGGGGAGGGTGATGTTCATCAATAGAAATCAAGATTCTACACATTTCTTCACATTCAGATAATGTAGACTCTTGATTAGTAATATCCCCCCCTAACAATGGAGACTCCTGATTAATTATTAACCATTGATCGTTGAAAAATCAATAGGAGTTAAACTTAAGGAAATCAATATTTGTTAAAAGGAAATCAATATTAGTCAAAAGGATCACATAATAAAAACAACATATCACAAAACAGATCAAAAATTGTGAGCATCAATCACCAGGGTGTGTATGTTCATAGGGGGGCCCCCAATCAACGGCTAGACTGGTCTAGTGACTGGTCTATATTCCTTCTTCCAGGGGTCGAACTGGGAGGTGCACACACAACCAGGCTTTCTTCGATGCCCTACCTGTTCCAAAGCCAACGAGCTCTTCGACGATACCCGACCAGGCGGTCATAGATTTGGTCTTAGCACAGTTGATCACGTCTGTCCTTTGGAACCTGGTAATGCAATCCGAGAACATGTGGAACATTGTATTGACCCAACAGCCACCAGGTACCTGGCAGAATCATGAACAATCTGTCAGCCAGATATCCAAGTATCTAGTGGAACCTGAACTTCAGGGTCATGAAGACCGGAATCCGCGGCGGCTGAGCCCTCCTGGCTGAACAGATCTGCGCACAGACACAGAGAACGGCTACACACAGACGCATGCAGAGATGGTCGTGCACAATGTCCTGGAAATAGGTGCTCCACTTGGGGGTGTGAAACCTTTAAGTCACAGATGGCCAAGACTCCAAGAAGGTGGTGTCAACCTGCGCAAATCTAGGCAGTCCCAACTTTGAAGCAGGTTGGGTCAATCACACCAGAAGGGTGGCAAATGCCCGTGCATTTTTCATGGGAGGTGTGATTTGTTCATTTGACACGTGGAAGGCTTGGCCAGCGATTTGCAGATGACTTGTGGCATGATTTGCATGAGCAAAGGCCTCACACACTGCCAGGCCACAGCCACAGCAGTCGACACGTCCCACTTTTCACAACCTTTCTTCCTTTTCTCTGTCTTTGTTGGCCTCCAACCTACTAGCGATGGTCTCACTTTTCACAACCCCGACTCCCTTTGGGCCCTCGTGTTGCCATCGCTGTGCCGAGCTGCAACCATGCCGCCACGCCGAGCGGCTCTGCGGGTTCGGAAGAGGGCCCGGGGGCCATGGTCCGATGTTAAGAGATGTTAAGCGTATGAAAGCGTTGGAAGCGTGTCGTTCAACAGGCATGTCGTAGCTGGCCAAGTCTCATTTAGATATTTATTCTGTGCCTTTGTGCCTTAAATTTGATCAATCTTCATAGCATACACATGGACCTCTCCAATAGTCAGCACTTTCGCTCAGAAATGGCTCGGTTTGATCAGCTCATGTCGCCCAGGTTTGGAAGAGGCGTGGCTTCGCGAAGCGGATCGCCCTGGTCGGACCGCGCGTGCGCGCGGCCGCGAGGGTTCCCTAGACTCGTCCAGACTCCCTCGTCCGAACGTCGTTGGTGGAAGCAGATGCCGAGAGTGCATCACAAGTGCTGAGAGTGCCGAGTGCTCAGCTTCCATGATTGTTTGACAGCTGGTGTATTCCATGGATTCACGTCATACATGGGCTTGTTTGGGTGACCAAGTGTGCTCAGAGATACTCGAGTATGATTCCCCAAGAAAGGTGGTCTATCTGTAGATTCCTGCATGCGAGCAGATTCGTCCTAGCGGTACCGCGATGCACAAACTTGTTCACGGCTATTTATTAATGCTTTTGACATGATATGACCCAGGACTCCAGGACCTTCAAAGTGACCGAACTTGAGATCCCAGGATGTAGGCCTGTAAAAGGCACAGACGGCCTTTGAAGGTTGTGGAGTTGTGGTGCTTCCTTCGACACCACCACTTTGGCTTTGACTCGCTCTTTGGCTGCCAGTTCTTGGACACTCACCAGCCGGCTGTGTCCCTGTGGGTCGTGTCCCGACGAGGGTCGGCGATGTAAACAGATCGACCATGTGGGAACCAAAGCACCAACAGAGGTGGGTTGAAGAACCCGAACTAGGCTACCCCAGTTTGGTACCCTGGTAGGGTCCTAGTTCAGGTCACTGACCCTTTGTTGGCAGGGGGACTTCCCAGGCGTTCCGACCCCTTCAATTCGGAACACACGTGCACCGATCTCGGCCTCAACCTCGCGGACCGGGAGCGTCACTAACCTCCACCCACCCAGCCAGCTGGGCCCGTCTCGTCTCGGAGGTTCTCCAGAGGTTCTCAGGAGGTCTCCGGCTAGGCAGCTGCTTCCGGGAAAGCCCGTGACCCTGCCCCGCCTGGCGGACACGGCCCTGCGCTTGACCTCCGTGGCCTTCGCAGGCGCCATGGGGCGCCAAAGAGGTTGGAAGTTGAGATCGATTAGATGCTTTGGGCGGTGGATTTTCATGTTCTTCTTTGTTTTTTGTTGTTGCATCGTTCTTCAGGGATTTAGTGAAAGTTTGGGTTGCCAGAGGTGGGGGTTGGGAAGTGGGCCCCATGGGATGGCGCTTTTACTTTCTTCTCCGCATGCCGCACATGTGCCCACCAGTCGCGGTTCCCCCGCGTTCGGAACGCGCGGCCCGGGCCTTGGAAAAAGGACTCTTTGGTGTGTGAATGCGCTACAACTCTAAGACCGCTAAAGCCGGATTGGATGGTTTTGTTGGAACCGGTTTTAGAACCGTTTCCTTTTTTTGGGTAGTCTTGGTAGTGGGTTCGAGAACCTGCCTCGTGCCAGGTGAGGCTGATGCCCAGGTGGGAGTCTGCGGATTTGGTGACAACACTGGTCGATGCGTGTTGCATGACCCAGGAAAGGTGGATCACCTGCGAAAAGATGCGAACAGCATTTTTGCAGATTGGAAAATCCCTCAAACAAGAACAGCGTGGAAAGTTCAGTTACTTTTTTACATGATTTACGCTCCAAAACCTGATCCTCCCTTCCCATCCAGCTTTTTATCTGAAACACCCCGTTGGTTTCACCAAGACCACCCCGGAACCTTTGGGCGCAACGGCCAGTCGTCCGACTTCAACGAACAGCCGAGTTGGGGAAGCTTGCAGTGGTTTCAGAGGTTCGATGGCACAAGCACGCCTAAGATGTCCTTGAGAGATTTTGAGATCGGGGTTCCATAACACATATAATATAATTACCAACCACCTCTGACTTCGGGTCTGTGCCATCATGTGCCATCTCTCAATGCACTGTAACCATATTATCAATCCCCAAAGCAACCTCTGAAGCATTCTTTGGGCATCCGATGGCAGCCCCGAGAACCACATGCATGATTAGTGAGAGATGGTGCTGATGGTCTTTCTTTGGTGCGATGAGATGTGATGAGACAGGGTTCTCGATTCAGTTAGAGTCATTACTTCATGGTGCGCATGGTGCAGATCACTGGAGCCTTTTTGATGGTTCATTTCAACGGTTGTGGTCGAGAAAGCACCATTCTTGACGTGCTAGTTTGTGGAAGGAGCTCTTCGTTTCACCCGAAAACCCATGGTCGTTTCTCACCTTCCTTTTTTTTTGTTGGCTCCTTTTGATGTAAACCGGTGCGACGTGACGTGTCCGACACCATCGGTTTGGAATGGTCATCCACTGGGCATTCCACCGGAATTGGCACAGATTTGCCACCCGAACCGTGGTGCTGGTGGAATCGGTGGCCGAAGATTGGGGGGGCCCTGCTTTGGGTGCCGGGACAGCGGGTCCAGCTGATTGAGCCGACCCCTTTTTGGGGCCAGCTGATGGGGTGCCTGAGGGAGTACTCCCATGGAACCCCAAAACCATTGGGGGGCAAATGATCTTCCACCGGTCAAATCTCTGGTTCTATGATGTTCTATGGTAGTTTGAGGGAGAGCAATTTGGATCAATGTTTTTCACCTCGAGCTGGCCCATTTCTCGCAGCTGGGGTGCCATGTTGAGCAGTGCACGATCGATAGGATGTATATTGATGAATAGAAAAAATGTGAGCGTCCTGAATTGACCCAGGCTCGAAGTCCGAAATCCAGCATCCAAAAAAGGATGTCCTACAGAGTCCTACATAAGACCTAGGGGTGTCCATTAAATGTGACTGGAACAGGTGAATAGAATGTCCTTGATGACCTTTCTCTACGAACGGAGCGGAGCGATCAGACACTACGAAGAACGGGGCTCCTACCCCATTCGGAACCGAGCGATCGAACGCGAAGCGAACGGGAGAGAATGAGAAGGATCGAAAAAGGAGCTAAGTAGCTGGACCCATTCGGCAGTCCATGGCCCGAGACGTGTGGTTCGGCGGCCCGCGGCACCGACCCGGCGAGCGTCTGAAAAGCCCGAGGCCGAGGCCGCGGAGCTGCAACTGATTGAGCCTCAGTGGGATGAAGTGACCATGTTCACCCCATCGAAGAAGAGAAAGACATCGGTGGCGAGTAGGTTTCAGGTCCCGTGGGCCTTGGGGGGGCCCAAAACTGACATGTTCGAGGCAAAAGCATGGGCTGTTTGGTTTCGGTGTGCAGATTTTTGATCTTTCACGATGGTTTGCTTCGATGTCCTTTCCTATCTTTCCTTTCCAGTCATGCTGGCTTGGATGGGAAGTCCGCGTCCATGAATCAAGAGACGCGCCAGGCGTTTTTCTGCTTGGAGCCTCAACCCTGGAGGGCAACAAGAACATGATCATGCAAAAACCTGATGCCAACAGCAGGCGCAGACCTTGCATACATAGGTCCATACCTACCAACTTAGCTCACTACTTCATGAACCTCATTGAACATCATATCATATCCGTGAACATCCTTTAAGAACACACGAGGCGTGCCTGAGCCTGTGCACTCTTTAAATCTTGCCTGTCTGACCCAAAGGAAGCTGCTTCATGACGCCACATCTCTCCACGGCTCAGACGACGGATCAGCAGTCCGATCAGCAGAAGAGTAGCAACATCCTAAAGGAGTTCAAGATGGTTCAAGCAGCACACAGACCTGAGAATCACGAGAATGCCAGAAGATGGGGTTATCTCACTCAGAGTTGAAGGAGCAATGAAACCACGGCTTTCACCGTTATTTTTTTGGGGGGAGGTGAAGTAAGTAAGACCCTTGCATCACTCCAAAACCATGCAACACGACGGGGTTTTGGGGTGCGACGTGTTCAAACAATGAAGCGCTTCCAAAAGAGGGACCAAGCACGTCAAAACCGGGCGTTCGGATATGCTTGAACTGCTTGTGACTTCCTGTGTTCATACATGAGGGCGACCTGGATTCCGTGTTCGAAGACCCATGTGTACTCTCATTGCTTCACTAAGTTGGAGGACGAGCTCTGGTTCCGCTTTCGCACGTGCGCACTCCACTCGTTTGGGGGCGTGAAGCAACCAGCAGCCTTCAGGTCGACCGTTAGCCCAAGGGTTCAACTCATCGGTCCTCATCCGTTTGGTTTGGAAAAACTGGATGAGGGTTCTTCCGGGTGGGGTGAAGCCTCCCAAACAGGCGCAATCCTGAGGTCACCTCTCCTTTTTGACCTGTCCCCTTCATTGTGCTAGGTCAAACTCGGGTTCGCCGCTTAGAGCTTGTAAACCGCTGGTGACAGTCTACGCCTGCTCGTCATCTTCCGCCTTCGGAGCCTTGCATGGAAGCTCGGAGCTTGCGCTCCTCCAGCTTTGTCTCACTGAACGGACGCCCAGCCGTGGGCGATGGGGCGTGGGTTTTCCCGCACCTCGGTGAAGGGGGGTGGGAGACACCTGCGGAGGATGTGATTTCAGGTGAGGTGACCTGAACGGGAAGGATGGCGCCATTCACAAAATACTAGCTGGAAACGGGAACTAACCTGCTGGCTGGTTTGGGACCAGATGAAAACCAGCTCTAACTGTATCTTGACCTCCTTCAAGCTCCGCCGAGGTCCACTGTTTTCGGCTTGGAGTTGGGCCGTTCCCGTTCCTCCACCTGGGCACCGGCGCGCTCCTCGTCGCGCGGGTCACGCGACGACGTGCTCGACGAGTGGCTTTTCCCCGTGAAGGATCCCGCGGCGCATCGCACCTGGAGCACCGACGCGGCGGGCGGTGGGCGGCCGCGATGGCTGCGGGAAGTGCAGCAAGATGGAGGAGTTCGAGGGTGGCTGCTACAGGTGCGGCGGAGATGTTTTCTTTCTCCTCGGATTCAGAAGTATATATATATATAAGTGTGTTGTAGGGCTCGAGAGTAGGCGATCAGCTCGCTTTATCAGGAAGCGACATGTGTTCTTTTCGATGTGTGGTGTGTTTTTTTCCTCCAGAGCGAATGTTTCAGATGTTGGGAGAGAAGTTCGGAAGATGGGACATGGATTGGTGCTGTTTTTTGCTCCGGCGAGTGGGGCACCGGCCAGAAATTGAGTCTCAACAATTGGTTTCTTTGGGTGAAACCTGTGAGCCTGTTTGTAGATGCAGCTTTGGGCCTGGGCTTCAACCAAGAGAGGGGCGAAAGGAGAAAACGTAGCCACTTACCCCTTTGGAGGGCAGCTTGGTTGTCTCACCTGGTGGTATGTGTGTTTTTGTGGGCACCGGGGGCGTTCATCGGTCCAAGAGGTGCCAAGCAAACTCCTGTCATCCTCTCATGCGTGTCCCAACTCCGCCTGAATGTTCAGGAATGGCTGCACAATTCATTTGCACAACACATGATCATGTATGCGGTATATACTTACACCACCGCTGGCTTTCTACCGCTGCTTTCTACCGCTTGAACAAATCGCTGTGCTTGAACAAACTCTTCTACTTCCGCACCGCGGCGGAAGGGGCTTGAGCTCAGTGGCATGGAAGACAAGAACTACTTGCTGGGCCTGCGATGGCTCTCCGGGGTCGCGCTGCCAATCACCGCGGAGCGGACGGCGGGGCCGATCACCGCGGAGCGGACGACCGGTGCCTTTTCAGAGTGGAACGAAGCATCCCACACCATCCACGTGTGGAATAAGTTACATATCTTACATTGGATGGGTCGTAGTATGGGTCATATATGGGGTAGATGATGGTATATGTATGTAAATTTACTGTAAATGCATGTCTGGAACTATTCCATAGATCGATGGTCTGGGCATGAGTCCCAAAGTATGATGATTTTCTGCTGGGTTTGTTTTCATTCAGCTAACGAATGACTGAGCTGTGCCATGCTGTGCCTGCTTTGGTCATGGCCGTGTCGGCAAGATTGAAGAAACTTCACAACACCTGGAGGGTGGTTTCATCGGTTATCGGTTTGTCAAATTCCTTTCGTCTGGCCGCATGGCGCGTCTTTGGCGTCTCATGAGCCTGGTCGTCTCGCGTTGGTCCATGGCGAGGCGGAGTGGAGACGAAGAAGACGTATCGCGGAGGAGATCGAGAAGGACCGTCGAGAAGGATATAATAGTTGCTGTACTTGGGCTGATTGAGCCATATTGAGCCCACTGACTCATACGGACTCATACGAGTGGAAACAGTCTTTGTCATCCGCCGAACTCCGGTGCCGCAGGACCTGCCACGGACTTTCCCCGGGCATCCCAACGAGGAGCACTTGACGATGGCCTCTCGCGACATCCTGCGGATGCTCTGCTGCGCGCGGAACGTGCCACGGCAGCGGTGGAGAAGTCATTGTTTGGACCGGCACGGCGGGTGACTTCTGGACAAACAGTGGTTTCAAGATGTTTCAAGGAGGTTCCATGGCACAAACACTGACACTGGCACCCCAAGATGTCCTTTTTAAGGCGCCCAACTTGAGGGTCCATATCAACCCATCTTCTATCAAATCACTGTAGCTTGGAGGGGAGGTTTTTCTTGGGCGTGGAGCGGTCGTGGCGTCCGAAAAACGGCGCGCGGGGACGTGGCGTGACGTGATTTTGGGTCTTCCAGCGACCTCATGCCTGAATCCTCCAACTCAAAATGTGCCCCGTTCGAAGGGGATCCGGTCGAGAAGGTATGCGTTTAAATGTTTTGTGGCCTATCTTTGCTGTTTTGATTGTTATCTTATTTTTGTTGAACGAATATGTTGCAGAGTTGGACGGTCCAGGTATAGCATGCCGCAACTCGCACTGAGGGTGGACTGAGCCTAGGACTTGGGGCATGTCCATTCCAACTCACCGACCAGGGCAACTTGAATTGGAACTCATGCAACATCCGCCCCAACGAACATACCATCAATCATCCAACTCATTCCAGGAACTCCAACTCATCCCATGACTGGTTTTTATGACTATGACTCGTCCATCCTAGGATCTGATGCATTCGTCTTCAGGTCTCTGTTGGATACACTCAGGGCCTCAACTTCACAGCGGCCGTGCTGAGCTGCGCCATGGCCCGCGACGATGCCTTCTGGTGCCGAACTCGGCGGGTGTGGGCGGCCGAGACTCGGTCACCGAAAGGGGAAGAGGTCGACGGTCACCGCCATTACTTAGGGAGGGCCATTTAATTTAGGATGTTTTTTGTTTTTTTTAAAGGAATTATTTTTGTTGTTTTTCGTGGCTTCTGTGGCTTTCGTGGCTTCTGTGGCTTCTGTGGCTTTCGTGGCTTCTGTGGCTTCTGTGGCTTCGTGGCTTTCGTGGCTTCTGTGGCTTTTCGCTTTTGTGGCTTTCGTGGCTTCTGTGGCTTCTGTGGCTTCGTGGCTTTCGTGGCTTTCGTGGTTTCTGTGGCTTCTGGCTTTTGTGGCTTTCGTGGCTTCTGTGGCTTTTGTGGCTTTTGGCTTTCGTGGCTTTTCTGGCTTTTGGCTTTTGTGGCTGTTTGCTACTAGTCCATATTTGTTTATATCGATCCGTCTATATCTATCTGTTTGTCTGTCTATCTGTCTGTTGTGTTGTGCTTTTCCTTTTATTCGCTTTGCAGAGAAGAACCCAAACAAGGAAGCAAGCAAGCAAGCAAGCAAGAGCTGCTCACCTTTGGATCTCCCCAACCCCCCCCGCCCCACGAAATCTGCACTTCATCTCCGCCACCCGCGCCTGCCACGAAACCTTTCTCTTTGCTTTTCTGCTAACTGCACCAAACTGTTGTGATAGTCTGACACCTACACTATTCCAATGCAAATCTGTCTACCTATCCATTTGTCTGTCTATATCTATTTATCTATCTCTCGATCTATCTATCTTTCTATCTTTCTTTCCTATCTATCTATCTATCTGCACTTCAACATCCACAAAGTCCTTCACCTGCCACGAAATCGAAATCGGCACTTCAAGGCCCGCAAAGCACTGCACCTGCCACGAAATCTGCACTTCAAGGTCTACAAAGTCCTGCGCCTGCCACGAAATCTGCACTCCAAGCCCCACAAAGTCCTGCACCTGCCACCAAATCTGCACTTCAACATCCACAAAGTCCTGCACCTGCCACGAAATCCGGACTTCAACATCGACAAAGTCCTGCGCCTGCCACGAAATGTCCGAAATGTGCATTTCAAGGTCCACAAAGTACTGCCACGACATGTGCATTTCAAGGTCTACAAAGTCCTGCGCCTGCCACGAAATCTGCACTCCAAGTCCCACAAAGTCCTGCACCTGCCACGAAATCTGCACTTCAAGGTCTACAAAGTCCTGCGCCTGCCACGAAATCTGCACCCCAAGCCCCACAAAGTCCTGCACCTGCCACCAAATCTGCACTTCAACATCCACAAAGTCCTGCACCTGCCACGAAATCCGCACTTCAACATCGACAAAGTCCTGCGCCTGCCACGAAATGTGCTTTTCAAGGTCCACAAAGTAGCATTTCAAGGTCCACAAAGTACTGCACCTGCCACGAGACACGAAAAACAAAAAAAATCCAAAAACAAAACAAACAAAATCCTAAATTAAATCCGAGCCCATTACTTAGGGACAAAACACCACCCCGACATGTGACTCCTGGTGTGCAATTCTATTGATTCAGGCCATTCCCTCCAAGATGAGGTGTTTCATGGCATTTCACCTGTATTTGTCCAGAATTTGTAGACAGATTTCGTGGCAAAGTCAGTTCGGCCCACCTACTACGCTTTGAGGAAGGTTTCAGTGGTGAACTCGGAAATAGAAAAGAAACTCTCAGACTTCAAGTTGAATGGCACGTGAAGACATTCAGTTTGGCTCAGAAGCGTTGTCTGACGGCCCGAAGGTGCGAAAGTCTTTTTTAGCGGGAAGACGCGGCCTGCTGGGGAAGCGCGGCCTGGGAAGTAGTGAAAAGAATCCTGTTGCAGGAGAGGAAAGCAGCCATGCTAGCTGTTGGCCTCCACTTCTTTTCCACACGAAACCACCGAGACCGAGACCGATCCATCCCCATCCCTCCTCCACTGACCATCATATTCCTAGTACTTCTCCAGTGATTCCTGTATGTTCCTGTGGCGTTTTTCGTCCGATTTCATCAGGGGGTTCTTTGACTCCCCAGCATTTGGGTCTACGGATATCTACGAGGAAAAAAACACATGCAAAACATTGCAAAAGCACAGTTTGGAGGGCTGAGAGACCACTAGATGTTCCTTAAACCAACCATCAGCCAACCCACTGACAGCCCTGGAGGCCCCCCCCAAAACTCCGCCATTTTGGTCTTCAGGTGCCTCACCGCTTTAGCGGAATCGGTGGCGGCACACTTCATGTCCAACGACATGCTCCAAGGAGCTGTGGCTGACTGTGAATGTGCCTTGGCTAGCTTGGGATCGAGCCGGACAGCCGTTTCTGGGTGTCTTTTTTCTCTTGAAGCGAGCTAAGAAGTGGCAGGAGGAAGGGATGTTGGATCTTGGAAGATGCTGGAGAGCTATCAAAAGGCTTTCTGGGAGTTTGCTGGTGGTCTGGCAACTTTCTGCGAGTCCACTTTGAAGGGAGAGCCACTAAGAAGACATGATCGACTCCAGCTCCGAGAGAAGCATTCTCGAATGGAGCGACACTCCATGTGACTGGACTGGAATTGTATGCCTACGGGCCTACATTGAACCTCCAAACCACCCCAATCTAGGTAAATACGGCCCAGACACTCCATGTATGCCATATATGCCTACATTGACCCCCAAAACCACCTCAATATAGGCATATGAGATCCGTCCAAAAACGTCGGAACCAAAAGCTTCATGTCGGTTGAGCATGCATTGAAAGCCGATGAGGAAAACCCAAGACCGATGCCTTTGTATCAGACATACGTATACATACGTACGTATAATACTACTACTACTACTACTACTACTACTCCTGCTGCTGCTGCTGCTGCTGCTGCTCCTTCTCCTCCTACTCTTGCTACTACTACTCCTACTCCTGCTGCTGCCACTTCTACTACTGCTACTACTACTACTCCTACTCCTACTGCTACTCCTGCTACTACTACTCCTACTCCTGCTGCTAAAACTACTACTGCTGCTACTACTACTGGCAAATGTTCTGTTTTTCACCAGCATGTATAGACCGATGCCTAACCGATGCCCTAACCGATGCCGCGGAGTGACTTCCAAGAGACATGCCCACTCGAGAGCAGATTTTAGCGTTCAAGGACATGCCCAAGAGAAAGGAACTAGCAGCTGCATATGTGAGGTACTTGAACTTGTGAAAAAGTTGTTTGCTGTGCGTTGCTTCGCCATGTCCATGACTCTACATGTGCTTGGAAAAATAAGGTATGTTAGTACTAGTATGTACTAGTGATATTCATCAAACATTGGAAACCGATGAAGAACACCCAAGCCCGATGCCCTGTCCTAATGACCGCTCCCAGACCTCATATATGGCATACATGGAGTATCATAGAGTGTCTGGGATACATGGAGCGTTTGGGTATGTCTGGGTGCTGCGACCCGTTGACATCCGTTGATGACAGTCCAACCCCACGGGACTGTCGCAGGTATCGACTGGTTGGCTGGCGAGCTGGATCCGCAGCTTGCAGCCTTGGGCCGTGCCTGTGAAGGAGCGGAATCGAGTCGAGTCGACTTACCGAGCGGTGTGGAGCCAGCCCACGCAGGGTCACCACGGACGTGTGCTCGACCCAACACGAAAAAATTGGTCTGTCCGTTCTTGCCTGTAACAGTCAGTGAACAAGAACATCACTGTTTTAGGGAAAGGCCTTAAACCATCATCATCCACTGTTACTGGTAATAGGATAGACCCAAAGTATATATTTACATAGACCCCCAAGATAGAAAAGTAGATCCCCACTACACATTTTATTGGACAATATTGGACACTATTTGGACACTATAAACGATTGATGTATAATTATACACACCAGAAAGTTTTTCTTTTTAATGGAATGGCTTTGAGTCTCCAAGTAAGTGGATGTGACAGGGGCACCTTTATCCCTCAATAGGAACCCCTTTGGAACTGCTGGTGTGTGATATATAATACACGGAATATGTGTACTCTACCTTTGAGGTAGTTGAGGAGGGCTCCCAGATTTCCGATTTCCTTACAAGCAGTGTTGTGGCTGTGGTTTTATACAGTACCTTTTTGAGGAGGTAGTTCAGAGCCCCCCTGTGCATCCACGAGTTTCCCTTTCGCACATGCACACATGACTTCATGACAGTGATGACAGTCGTCCTGGACGTCCAGCTGTGTGAGGATATTCCTCCGTGATCTTCGCACGGCCACTTTGTACATTGCTGGCCTGCTGCGGCTTGCCAGTGGACGCCACCTTGCAATGTTGGAGAGCGATTCTTCATTCAACGAACCCCAGGAGCCAGGTCATTATTTTCCAAGCGTTTGGAGGGTGCTGGCCTCCCCACCACAGATCAAGAAAGGATCCAAGAGACACCAGGCCAATTTGAACAGTTGTTTGGTGCCTGGGACACGGGTCCCTCCCCCATGGCTGAACCTTGCGACCGCACTCTGCGGCTTTGGAGCCGGCCTTTCACCAGTGTCCCACTGATTGGCCTTCATTCGGCCTTCATGCGTGAGGAATCAGATCTATACCGTATGCCATATGCCTAGGCCATGTTTCGCTCGTGCGCGCTCTGCGCACCGACACTCCAAACGCCCCGATGTAGGAGGGGACGACTCCAGCATGTTCCATCGTAGTTCTGCCCGAGATTTCGATCGTTCTGGGTGGAGGCCATCGCTCGTCGCTTCTATTCTCCCTTTTTCGGAGAATGGATGGCGCCTCCTGGCCCCATCCTTAGGGGTGAATGTCCAGAGGTCAGGAACTGGGGACGTCGCGACGAAAAGAAGCAACCGACGTCGTACGTCCTTTCCTTCTTGTCGTCATTTTCCGATCACCCAGATCTTCTTCTAAATCCTGCCAGGTGACCAGACCCACCGAGTTTTGCAATTCGTTTTTTTCACATGCTTTCACCGCCTTAAGAAGGATCCTCCTCTTCCGCAGGATCTTCCTCCTCCGCAGCATCACTGCATTCCTCCTGGCAGCGCTGCAGCGGCAAACGGATCCGCCCGCGGAGCTCGGAGATCTGATGGAGGCTTTAGAGAGGGAGAGAGAGTGTCCTATGTTCGTAGCGTCCTTGCTCCGTTCGTAGCGATGCCCTTTGTTACTAGTATAATATGCAGTAGCTTCTTGTTACTAGTAGTAAGGCCAGGAGCTACGTTCGTAGCGTCCGATCGCTCCTAGGCTTTAGAGAAGACCTTTCAGGGCACCTACGATGCCCAGGCGACCGGCTGGACCCGCTCCGGGTTGGTGGATGGTTTCGCGGCGGGCTCTCTGAGAGCGTTCGGAAGCTGCGTCGAGAAAACAAGGAAATCATATACGAAATCTGGATGAAATCTAGTTAAGTGCATTGATGATTTATGATCAAAACTTAGCATGTTCTTGGTTTTTTGGGATCCTCTGTGCACGCACACCCTTTGGGGAGACCATGTCGTCTTTTTATCGAGGTGGTGTTGGCCGCGGCCACGGAGAGTGTGGAGTCAGTCCCTGAGCCTTTGGCTGCAGATGGCCTCTCCCCACCGGGGGTCGTGGCCTTTTGAGTCTCATCCAGGGGCTGTGCATGTGACAGGAGTACCCCGACTTGTGTTCGGCTCCCGGACATGGATATATATGCACCTGGCGGTCCTGGCCGATCCGATGCGGAGCATCGATGGTTGGAAGCCGGTTTTTGGGATGCCGCACGGGTTGGAAGCCAAACTGTAGCGCGATCAGCAGGGACCCGGCCTTTGAGACCCATGTGACCAAAGATCCAGCAAATCACGTGAATCCTGCAGAGTTGTGGGGGGGGGGGGGGGGGGGGGGGGGTTCACTTTCCAGATGCCAAAGGCTTGTAGATTACTTGACTTTCCCAGCAACACCTTGGACATGTCTAGACTGCGGTTGAGCATTGCCTTTGGGGGGGATGATTTTAAAGTGATGCAATCCAGATAAGTACAAGGGGCCTTCTTTCACAGATTCGCGCTGTGAAACTACGGGTGCTGCCGTTGAGTCTTGAGTTCTCTACTCGGCTCGCGTGCCCAGCTCATGTTCGGGCCAATGTGGCCTTTGGCAGTTGAATCAAGGACTGGGTGATGCTTGATGTTTTCCCTCAATTGGGTATCTCAGTTTTGCTTTTTCACCCCGGCCAAGGCGTCCCAAAAACACCCCCCCAAAATCTATAGTCTATATATATAGTTTACGACCACCCACCAAGGGTCAGCAGGATGTCAGGCGGGATGATGCATCCCAGACTGCCGCCAGGACCACCCCAGGAACCTTTCGGAGTCGATCGAGCCGGTGAAACCGATGTGGTTTAACCTCGTGATCTCGGGAAGACATGTCCCAGACACGACCAGCTCTGGGACTGCCAGTCCGGACTGCCGAGAAACGGCCAGGGGTGGTTGAAAAGGGGTCAATGATGGTCAATATATTAATATATAATAGGCATATATGGCAGTCCCATGAGTCGTGCCTGGGTGTAGAAATGATTCCTGCTTCGGCCAAATCCAAGAGGGTCTCTCAGGATTCCGTGGTGCTCGAGAAGCTGAAGCAGATCGAAGATCGCTTGCAGAGTAAACATGCCAATCGCAGCGATGCGCAGAGGGAGGCACATGAGGCTCAACAAGCCCAGCGCTTAAGGCAACTGGTCTTAGAGGCCTGGTGTGCTGTTTGACTGTTTGAACTGCCAGCTACGACCAACAACACGGCGCAATCATGGCCGCGCCGCCCAGAGCTTGCGTTATGGTTGACGATGCAATTAGTGATGCAATTATACTGCAGTAGCTTAGGATTTTGATCTACTGTATTGAGAGACTAGTCTTCGTGTCGTTGTGATCGTCACAGGATGTGGGCGTCAGACAGAGCCTGCTCAAAGATATGCCACTCGGGCCTGAGCGTTCCAAGGCATAGCAAGGCCGTTGCAAGATGGTGTAAGAGAACCACTCATTAAACATGTTTAAACATTGAGGTCGCAAAACGAGAGATATTTGAATTTCAAAAAAGCAGCCACTTGCAGCCACTCGAGTGGCCGCAAGTGCCGAGAGATATTTGCATTTCAAACACGCAGCCAGTGGCTGTGGCCGCTCCCCCAAAAAAACACAGCAAGTGGCCGCAAGTGGCCGCTATAGTAAGAGCAGGTTCAAGTGAAACTTTCCTTTTTCCAAGATGAAGAGCAGGGATGTCATCAAATCTTGAAAAAATATGGAGCTAGAGTTTTTCAATATTTTTTCAAGATGGAGGCCACTTGCAGCCACTTGCGGCCACTCGAGTGGTCGCACGTGGCCGCTATAGCAAGAGTACCCAAACATAGAAGAAACGGAGCCCCATGCAAGGGAGTATCCAAATAAGGATGAAGAGGACCGGAACGAAACAGAGAATTCCATCGCAGAGGGAAAGGACTCAAATGAAGGAAAGACTCAAACGAAGTAGGAAAGATTCAAAGGAAGAAGGAAAGGAATCAAACGAAGGAAAGAGTCGAACAAAGTAGGAAAGATTGAAAAAGCGGAAAAGGCAAGAGTCAAACAACATAGGAAAGATTCAAAGGAAGAAGGAAAGGAATCAAACGAAGGAAAGAGTCCAACGAAGATCTGCAGGCAGGAAGCCTGCGAATTCTCCAAAAAAGATATTTTTTCAAGTTCTGTAGACACACAGACTGCTCGAGTGGAACCACAAGCACGCAGCGACTGGCAGCCACTTGCGGCCACCCGATGTGGTCACAAGCCCGCAGCCACTTGCAATCACTTGCAGCCAACTTGCAGCCACTAGCTGTGGTCACAGGCCCGCAGCCACTTGCGGCCACTTGCAGCCACTCGAGTGGCCGCAAGTGGCCGCTTCCCAAAGGTGGCCGCAAGTGGCCGCTTCCCAGCAAGTGGCCGCAAGTGGCCGCTTGCACCAAAATCAAACTCCTCCCATTTTGCAACCTCCCTGTGTTTAAAGATGAATCTCCCGGGGTCCGGGAAGATTCAATTCCAAGAAGTCTCATTTTTGGGGGGCTCCTCTCCATCAGCGAATCAATCCATCCAAGTCGATTTTGGCAAGCCCCATCTTACTGTAGTGGGAAGAGCGACAGAAGGGAGTTTTTTCCGGCAAACGTGGGGTGTTTCGTCCGAACGCTGGGGCCTGGATCGGGTGTTTCGGCTGCTTCTCGGCTTCTCGATTCAGGCAGGCGGCCTGGCGTGGAGCGGTGTGCCGGACACGGCCTGAAGTGTCACAGATGGACTTCCTGCTGCTGCTGCCAGCGGAGGATTTGCAGGGTGTCAAGAGCTCCACTTGGGAGGCCGGAAGGGGCCTTGAAGAGTCCAAGCCACAGGTTCGGAAGAGGAGGTGTCCTAGATCTTGGATTTCTTTTGTACTTCTAAATGCTTCTAATACATCTATTTTTTATTTAGGCCAGGTATTTTTGTGTTTTTTGTTGGTTCATCAAGGGGAACATTTGCTACGGTTGCCTGGTGACATTTTGCAATGAAATGGTAGTGCTACTGCTTTTGTTTTCGTGGATTTAATATACCACTGGCATCCACTGGCACCATGAGGATGTGGGGTGAGGCTTGGTCACATTTGCTTGGCATGACGGCGTAACTGTGGACACATGAGGGGGCTGTTATACAGGTTTACCTATATAGTAATTTTCTTACTATTACTATTACCGCTCCCTAGGATTCCAACGATTGATTTGATTTGACCGCCTTTACCAAACAATCATTGTTTTACTAAGAGGACTGCTACAAAACGAGGCCAACCATCTTTCAAACCGTCTTGGAGGGCTATTACATATACAGAAGGGGAGAGAGAGAGAGAGATAGGGAGCGACGCCAGAGCGCTTATACATATACCTCCATTCAAGCAAACCTCCCACAGCTGGGCATGAGACAGCACCAACCAGTCAAGAATCTTCTGGTCGAAAACCACCAAGTCCTTTGGGCTTGGATTTTTGGTCCGGTGGATGTGTTGCACCGTCCCAAGTGCCAATTTTTGTGCTCCCCAAACATGATTGCTCGTGCGACTCATAGGGAAGGAGGGAATGAACATCCACTGAGGTTCCATGAGGTTCCTTAGGATCCAGCCACCATTGTTCCGTGCTGGATCGTTTGTGGCACCAGCATTGGAGTGATGAATCGTTTCGTGGACTACTTCAGATACTCTGAAGGTGTGGCTGAAGGAGGCATGTGCTACCACCAGCCTGGCAGGCTTTCCTGTCGACCATCTTCGATGATTTGGATGTTTCACGGCGGGGCCTGGTGCCCTTGAAGCACGCCTTGATCGCACTGGCACTCATGTTGGGCGACACGCCCTTGGAGCTTGGAACGATCAATTCAGCGGGGACATTGGGGATGGCAGGTTTGGATGTTTTTGTGGGCTTTATATAGTGGTGGGGTGATGTAGTTTCAATTCAGTCCTATGGCCTGGGACTGCACCGGAAATCTTCCTCTTTTCCTCAGAAGGCCTCGTCGCCTTCTGGTGGTTTGTTTATGGTTTAGGCAATTTCTGAAAGATCACGCCAGAGGATACATGCCCAGTTGAGCAACTCCAGCACAACATTCTGCCTTCCCCTTCTGAGGCGCCTTGAAGATACACCCTTGAAGATTCACATGGAACCTGAAAACCACGTCGGGTTGTAGAGGAAAATCGTCTTCCACAGGTCCATGCCAAGCTCGGTTCCATTGTGAATCTCTTCCCCAGTGGTCGATGCCATCCGATCATCCTAGCGGCAGCTTCCGGCGCTCGAGCCATCCGCGCGGCGAGGAGCGGATTTGCGCACTCTTCTCCATGCTCGAAGTAGAGGGCCGATGCTGCAGCGAGGACTTTCGCGCCCTTGCGGAGGCAGGGAGCCCAATGAATTAGCGCAGCTGCCGCCACGTGGGAAGAGCTGCAGATTTGTTCAAATAAGTGTTCAAGTCATGTTATATAATTCAATGGCCGAAGATCGAAGAAAGATCCCGCAAAGGATCTTAACTCGATGGGGCGTTGTTTCCTGTTCGTTGTTTTTTTTTTTAAACGAGTTCTTATTTCTCACCTGCACTGCATGGGGCCTCACCCGTTTGTGAGACCTCGGTGTGGACAGTAGAAAGCCATACGGCCGGCCCATCAGAACAGCTACTTGGCCCGACTTTCCAAGGTACGAACGTGCAAGTATACCAGGGCCCCCAGTCGGGGTGGTTCATGGACACCCCAAAAAAACCTTTAAGGAGCTAGGAAACTAGACACCCCGGTAGGGGGGTCCAGGGAAAACGGTGATATACGGGTTGAAACTCTCTCTCTGTTTCGGCAGTGTTAGCTTTGAGATCATCCATTGATGGCAGATGCCAACCCGACTCAGTCCACTCCACCGCCTTATAGCCACACTGTATATCATGTAGCGGGAGCAGCAAGACAAGCAATAGAGACCAGAACCCTCCAACAGGTCACCCTCCAGATTCGACCGCTTGGACTCTTTGCGTCCAACAACCCTCCAAGACACTAAAAGAGGAGACCTTGCAGTGAGGCTGCTGGGACATGATCCACATGCACCGGAAAAGATGGTCTCCAGCTCAGGGTTTCCCGCGCCAAATCTTCATTGTGAGGCGACAGGACAGCAAGATGCTGCGGCACAGTGGCTGGGAGTGCCGGGAAGATCCGGGTTAGTGCCGCCATCCCATCCAACTGGAGGAAGTCCATGGTCGCCATGTGGTGTTCCATGACGAATGTCCTCCAATTCATGATGTAGTCGGTCGGCCGTCATGTGGTGTTCCAGTCGTGCATTCCGTCGGTCCTGCAGATGTATGATCCCTTGGTGTTCGGGACGTAATTGGATCGTCATGGAAAGCCGCAGTTGCCGTGCAGGGCTTTCTTTTGGGGGGTTCTGCGGGACACCGAGTGGATCAAGGACTTAGTTGAAAGACTGGTTGGTGAGGGATTGAATATTTGGGTCCCCAATCGGAATGTAAACCATGTCGTGCCCCCTACCACAAGTAGCAATTGGTTTTGGCAGTTGTTGAGGGTTCCTTCAAGCCAGGTGGCTGGCCTCCAACAACGTCCGAGAGCACTTAGACCAGGAGACCTTCATCAAGGTGTGCGCCCTTCCCCCGCGCGGCCCCGGCAGGGCGGGGCGATCCCTGGAGGTGTCTTTTTCACGGCTCGAATTGGTCTCACATTGATCTTAACAGACATTTTTGGAGCTGCCAGATGTTTTTGGTTGATTGTTTTGGTGCTCATTGAACTGCTGTTGTGTTTACAGGCCCTTCTGGCCTTGCCCTCCTTGGCCTTGGCCACGGTGGACACAGATCTGTGCCTTGGGACCTGGGTCGCTGGAGTGGACTCATGATGAACAACACCTTCATATGAAGAGAGGTTTTACAATCCAAATGGAGAGATTTCATTCATCACGATTCTACCTTATGTCGTACTCGGATCTCAACTTGTGCTCCGAAGAAGGATCAGAAGCTGTGTGGAATTTGGAGAAGCAACAAGCATCAACATCCACCGAGATTGAAAGGAGGTCATTCTACAACCGTTGTTTCAATCAAGTACACGACCTGAAATGGTCTTTCATAGTTTAGAAGTTAATGGACGACAATTCTTCTTCAGACCCAAAGAGGGTGGCGTTTTCCACGTCCCCATCCTTTCGTTCCGTGGTTCGCCGTCACCGGGCGGATCCAGTTCTCTTCGCCGGGTCCAGTGCTTGCGGATCGGAGGGTTCTGGGAGTCCACCAAAGGTGGTTTGACGAATGGTCCGAGTCAAGGACCTTCCTGTACTTCGGTGGTGCTCAAGATGGTCGAACTGGACTTCGTCCAGGGGATGAATCGGTGGATAAGAATGTGCAATGATTTACTTCCCGCAAGGGGACCGCATCGAAACCTGAAAGCACCGAGGCCCTTTTCACCAAACCCAGACACTCTGTATGGGATGTACGCCTACATTGCCCCATCTAAGCCACCATAAACCACCCCAACTGATCGGGACTCATATTACATGTGGTGTGTTGGCTACGGTTACCAGTTCGGCAGCTCTTCCTGTGATCGCTTCAGCTTGCCTCCTTCACCCAAACGTCCCCGCGCGCGGGCTTGGTGGGGGGGGTCCCGCAGGTTGGTTCTGCAGGTCCGTGCAGGTCCTCAGGACCTTGCGGGGTCCGGTCCTCAGGACCGGAAGCTTCAGCATCTCCTTCACCTCCTCGTCCTGCGGCACCTTGCTGCCGGTCGCCCCAAAGTGTCGCGGCGGGTCGCACCGGGTTCGGTCGTGCCGGTCGTTCGGGGTGGGTCGCGGTCGCGGATCTGGATGGCATGGAGAAGCGAAGAAGGGGCCATGGAGAGGTCGTTCGACACTGTACATTGAAAGCCCCAGATAAGGCTTTTTGGGGGGATTCAGGGGATGATGGCATCTCGTCTCTCCTGTTTCCATGTGTCATCTTAGTGTGGATCCCTATAATGATGAATGCTGATGGTTGATCTGAGGTTTCGATTGTTCTGCGCATCGTTTGTTTGAAGGTGTACGCTGCCTCGGTCTCATCGCCGACCTGGTTTCGCACGTACGCCAAGTGATGCTCGCAGACTGAGGTGGGTCCCGGACGTGCAGGAGAGTTCGTGTCAGTTGTGCGCGGAGTACTTCACCTGCTACCGCCGCCGGCACCACTGCCGCGCCTGCGGGCGCTTGGTGTGTCGACCCTGCAGTCGGCAGAAGATTGCTTTGTCCATCATCGGCTATCTCGAGCCAGTTCGTGTGTGCCGCTGGGACCGATGACATGCTCGACATGGCTGGGCCGGAACCGTTCCCTTGGATACGTGGCGGGTTCAGGAGAAGCAAGGACAGGTTCAACGGATTGTTGGGAGTTGTATGTTTTGGGGGGAGAGATGGGAAGATCATGTTCCATGGCAACGAGGTCCATGTGCCATGCATGTTGTTTCTTTTCGGGTGGGATCTTTGTTGATTTTGTTGTCGATCCCTTTGAAATCCTTGGAGCCTTCAGCTCCGGCTGGCGACCACATCCCGCACAGGTGCGAGTAGATAGAGTTGTATAGATAAATTATTTGTCACCTAAATAGTTTCGTGTACCAATGGAACCAGGACCTTCAGTAAATCAGCACTTTCTGGACAGTGCCTCCCTTATGGCCAAGAGGGTTGGCCATCCAGACGAATCCTCGAGCCACTCCAAGTAGCGTTTGGACTTCCAAGTACCGCGCGTTCAAAAGGATTAAACAGGTATATCCAGAACCGCCCCAAACGGACCCTTGCAAGGAATTGGTTTAAGGGAACATCTGCGGGAACCTATACTTTTAGGGTGTGAAAACCCTGGTTTCTCGTAATTAGACGTTCCCTGAATTCCCATTCGTTGACCCTTGCCAGCACATCGCAGTATGTCCCATTTGATGTTCCTTTCGGGCACTTTGGAGAGCCCCGAAGCCGATGAGCACCGCCGTCCAACACCGGCTGAGCTCCGCGTTGGGCGCCAACGGAGAGGGAAGAGCGCTCATCCCATCCTCAATCCCATCATCCACCCACCAAGGATCCCGGACCTGAAGCATATAACTATATCTATCACATAGTGTACCCGGGGAATCGGGCTCAGCTAAGTACATGCCTTCGTTTCGGTTCGGTGGGACGACCGGGGCCTGGGTGCTGGTGCCAGGAGGGTCCAGTCATGCCGAACCTGAGGAGGTACGACTGGAACCCTAGGGTGAAGAATGGATCATTACAAACGGCATTCTGGTCCTTTTTGTTGAGCTGGGAGGTCCAGAAATGTTGGTGGGATTGTGCCATCTCCTCCATGGCCAGTTATATATACCAGCAGCACCTTTTTTCTACAGGTCTCCTCTGGAGGCTTTTGACTTGAAAGTCGCAGGTGGTGACCTGTTGGAAGGTGCTGGTCGATATAATATACCTAGCACTTCCAACGGGTGCCCTGTTTGGAGACCTGATGTAGGGTAGTCTATTGGACACCCAGCCAGGATGATCGGATCCTTGCGCCATCCTTGCGCCGTCCCGCCACTGCACACAGGTGACGACTGCTTTTCGGTGCTGAGCCCTTAAACACCGAACTGGAAAAAAGGGGGGAGCGACCGGTACCACGTTGGCCAGGGCGGGTGGGCATGTGGGTGCAGCGGCTGCTGGGTGATGGAATAAGGAGAGATTCATGTGTGCATTTGGAGTTCCACTGGTGTTGGTGTGATTGAATCCACTGACTCATTCAAATAAGTGAGTTGAAAGCACCAACCAGCATCTCGTTCTCATTGACTCACCCCCCCAAAAAAAGACATCCATGTATGCCATATATTTGCCCCATATATTTACCTACAGTGAGGTGGTTCGTGGGGTCCATGGCATACGTTCCGTCCAGTTCCCTCGTCCCGTTCGTCGTGTTAAACAGAGGCCACTTCCTCCACGGAAACACCGAGGGAATGTGGGGCGAGTCACCCTTGACCACTCATGCACACCTATGCACACCCATGACCCAGCCCACCCTGAGGCTCCTGACATCAAAATGACATCAAATGACCTCATGAAAAGACCCGGCCTGGTGGATTAGGTGGATTATGACTGCCAGGTGGGGTAGTTCATGAGTCAGTTGTGTGATAGTTGAGTGGTTGCCTTTAGGACTTCCACTTTAGGACATCCCTGCGACTTTTTCGAGTCTGCCTGCTGTGAACGACGACTTAGGATGGTGGGTGAGCAGGAGAAGCGGGAAGTTGATGAAAACGTGAGGTTGTGGTGCAGAGATGAGCATGTACGAGCATGTTAGGCTTGTTGCTCGTTCGCGTGAGTGGCCCGAGCCAAGAGTGCTGAGAAATTCGACTCTTTTGTTCCTCAGTCGTCTCATGAAGCGAGCTCGGCGTCGACCGGGCGTCGACCGAGCCGGCTTGGGGACAACGCCCCGTGGCTGCAGGACAGCACCGAAGCCCGATTCACCGTCTGCAGGCCGCGTTGGGATGGAGATTGGGGCGGCGTTGGGAGGGGCCGCGTTGGTCACGGCGATGAAGCTACCCTACCAGGCTAAATACCACACCACACTTCAGTCACACTTCTATGACATGTAGACTCAATGTAGAGCCTTTGCAAGCTGTGAGAGTGAAGAGTGAGTGGGGGTGTAGGATCAGATTGTGAGGGGCTTGTTGTTGCCACTTGGTATCACTGCGCTGGACATGGCCAGTCACAGGAAGCTGTGAAGGCTTCCTCTTAGGATTAGGGAGCAGCTAGAGAATATCAAGGGGTCGAAATGAACATATTTAACAGATCATTTAAAGCTCTGGACTCAATCAAAACCTCCCCCAATCTTTGCACTCAAAATCTTTCCCCTCAAGCTGATCTGCCAAGTACTTGCTTTTGCTTCCACAGAGCGAGGGAGAGAGAGAGGGAGAGAGAGAGAGAGCTCGCAAGAGCACAATTGCCTGCAAATCTATGTTGGTGACGCTCAACAAGGAGTATTGGAGCCATCGAACATACCGATGGGGCTTCTGTCACCGACGTGGGGCACCACCATCATCGGCCCATTTTGGGCGGCTGCCGACGGGCGTTGATACTGATGACTCATGAATCAGTCCCAGACGCTCCATGGGACTGCCATAGGACTGCCGATCAAGCCAGACCCCCCATGGCACCACCCCTGTTTGTATGGCAGTCCTATGGCAGTCCCATGGAGTGTTTGGGAGTCCCATGGAGTGTTTGGGAGTCCCATGGAGTGTTTGGGAGTTGTACTAAACACATCAGACACTATCCCTTGGCCGGGAGCTGGGTCAATCTCGTGAACCGCACCGCTCCCCACACAGGTTCCACGTCCCCAGGGCCTGCACATCCACCACGTGAAGTCCCTCAGTCTCCAATTTCGCCCGCGGACGCCCCGTTGAGAGCCTTCCAAAACCAAGGTAGCTTGAAAATCCTCTTTTTCGGTGACCCGGTGTTTCCCCTCTTTGACCTTGAGACCTTCTCCCAGTCTCCGAGGTGTCTACGGCCCGGTTCCGGGAACACCCTGGAAGGCCTGCAGGTGCGGTGGCGTCTCATCCGTCGCTGTGTCCCGTGCCCCGCGCGGACGGGACACGCCGGGGACCGGGGCGCCAGGAGCCAGCGTACCTGCGGCGGCAGCGAGAGGTGATGTCTTTGGATTGTGTTTGTCTGTTCACATTGTGAACGTGGTGCATGTTGAACTTGGGACTTGAACTTCAAAATCCAGTTTTGGAGGAGGTTTCTTTGGAGGGGTGGAACTTCAGTGGGAGCTTCATAGATCATTTGTAGCACCATTTGGCACCCTTGAATTCATAACACAGCCAAGCTTTGAGGACATGTGGGTGCTCAGGTGGTTTCCACAAAGTAGGCCAGAGGTGCTCAGTTGAAAAGACCACGGACTGAGGCCAATCACCTGGAGGATCTTAAGTCATCGACCACCTCCAGATCACAGACCTCAACAGATCTCCAGGGCTTTGGCCCTCCCCTAGAGGGGTCTTGGATCACCTCTAGACCAGATGTCTAAAATTCACCAACCTGAATTCCCCCGACGAGTTGGCGAGCAGCCCTGGTGAGGCAGGAGGCGGCCCATCTGACTCCACTCAAAGCCATCACGGACCAAGCATCGATTCACCTCGAAGGGATCGCATTGTGCCCATGGCTTCCAGGCTGGTGCTGCTTCCTAGCCTGCTGG